GTTTTTTGAGTTTTGGGGCTGTTGCCGTATTTAGCGCTCGCTGGTGCCCCGGTAGCCAAGGACAGCGGGGATGTTCTTTAGAGCGGGATGCGGGTGAGCCTGGGCTGACAGCTTGGGGAGAAGCATGGGAATTCGGGCTGGCGGGACTCGGACGTGCGCCAGGTGTGTAGAAATTCGAGGTGTTTGGACGTTCAGCTCCACCAAGGGACGTTGCAGGAGCTTTGGCCCTTAGGAGCCGTCTGCCAGAGCGCGCCCGTGTCCCCAGGGCCACTTTGGCTGCCCGGCACGCATCTGAAAACACACCACCGTCCCCGAAGCTGCCTAGTGCTCCGGGGTTAGCTGTGCCGGACGCGTTTCTGTGCAGGGCCAGCGTGGAAAGGTGCCCGCTGCTCCGGCAGTCCCAGGCTCTCCCGCTATCCCGCGGCCAATGGGATACCCGGGATGCAGCTGGTACCATCAGACGTGTTTCTTGTCCCTTGTGCATGCAGCAGTTGGGTTTTTTGCTTTGCATCTGCAGCAGCAGGGCCAGCCCCTTGGAGCTGGAGCTCTGAGGTGCCCTGCAAAGCACCAGCGAGGGGCTGGTGGTGCAGGGGGAGCCGGACGGGCCGGCGGCCTGGCTCGCAGCAGGGGACACAGCTCGGCCAAGACCTGCCGCGGTGACAGCTCCACGCTCTCCCCTTCCCCGACCCCTCCTTCCCGCAGGGGATGTCATCTCCCGCCTGACGTCGGACACCACCATCGTGAGCGACCTGGTGTCCCAGAACATCAACATCTTCCTGCGCAACGTGGTGAAGGCCACGGGGGTGATCATCTTCATGTTCAGCCTCTCCTGGAAGCTCTCGCTCGTCACCTTCATGGGCTTCCCCATCATCATGCTGGTGTCCGACGTGTACGGCAAGTACTACAAGGTAGGCGAGAGTGGCTGGTGGGGGCTGCGAAGCCGGGCTCTCGCCATCGCGGCTGTTGCGCGGGGCCTTGGCATTGCGTTGCCCCTCCGTGGCCCGTGCTCTGGCCTTGCTTCGTGCCCAGGAGCCGAAGCATCTGGGGCGAGATGGACGAGGCAGCTAGACTAGCCGCGGGCCGCGGA